GAGTGCAAAGAGGCTAAACGTGGGTGGAGAGGGTGGTCCCCAGATGCCTGGTCTTCTGGGCAGCACCCAGCCCAAGTCTGGCTCTGGTTGCCCCTCTCTGCCTGCTGTGGAATTCCCTCGTCCATGTTCCCTGGCATGACCATCCAGGCTGGATTGTTGTGTATGTGTAAAAACAGACTCAGCTTAGGGTCAGGCCTGGCAGGGATCCTAAAAGCATCAGGTCTTCCCTGCACCTCATGTTGGGAAAGAAGTTTGCTGTGTGAGATTCGAACCCAGGACAGCACTGTGTCCCCAGCCAAGGATTCACCATCTGGAGAGGGCCCTATATCTGCACTTCCTTCCCCTGTGCTCCTGGGCATGTTTTGGAGGATGGCGTGGTGTGCTGGAGGAGGGGGAGGGATGAGGCCACAGTGGGTAGGAGAGGTGCTGGGGGGATGACAGCCATCTGCTTCCAGGAACCAAGTATCCAGCACTGTCACTGCAGATGTTTCCTCTCAATCCTGGCAGGGGTGTGGGGGGTGGGTGGAGGTGTGTGTGTCAGCAGGGGCACTGTCCAGTTTCGGGCATTCCACTCCATCTCTGGGAACCAGCAATCCCTCCTTCCTGCGGTTGTAGTTCTTTGCCCTCCCTGCCCTGAACTAGCATGGGGAGCCCATGGAACCATGCTGTTCCCTGCTGTGGCTGCAGCCTCCCTTCCTGTAAAAATTTGAAGGGGGGATTTGGACCAGAAAAGTAGCTTCCAGTCAGTGCCTGGGGCGCTGCTTGCTAGTGATGTGCTACCGCATATGGGATACTTTATTACTTCTACCTCACATGTGGCCAGCTCAGTGGCTAAAAATTTTAAGACTCCAGAGCTGGAAGGCGTGGGGGGATCTGGGGCCCAGGGCCAGGTGATAGGTCCTCTGGTCACATCTTAGTGACAGCTGAGGCCTGTGACTGCCCAAAGTCCACCCTAGGGCCCGAACTGGCTTTACCTCTCCTCCCAGGCCCTAAACCTGTCCAGGACAGACTCCCACCTGTTTGTGAACTGCCCCAGGGGCCCAGGGCCTCAGCTGTAAGAGTGTGTGCTGCGGGGTCCCAGGTATGGTCACTAGCATGAAGGAGGGGCCAGAGGGCTCTGCTCCCTCCTGAGAACTGCCATCAACATTCTATTCCTCATATAATGTTGGAAGGTGTTTACCACTTGCCAAGTATCTCCTGGGCTCCAGGTGCTGAGCCCCATGGGTACTGACATAGTTTGCTTGGAGAAGAAGCTGCCGTGTGCCCATTTTACAAGTAAGAAAATGGAGGGTCAGAGTTCTGGATCCAAGTTCCAGGTGGGCTACTTACTACCATGTGACCTGTCCTCTGCTGCTCTGAGCCCAGATCCCAGCCCCTGCCTACCTCCCCATCTCCCCTCAGGGCTTCTGACAGTCATGTGGAGGGTCTACACAGTTCTGGGTGCGCCCTGGGGCCACAGCCCAGTGCAGGGGTAACAAAACTGGCCTGCCTCCCTCTGCTTTACCCCTTGGGCCCAGTTCTGGAATAAGAGGAGGCCTAGGACCTGCTTCAGGGGCTAGCCTGCTTCCTCATCTTACAGATGGGGAAGCTGAGGCTCAGAGAGTCTTCATTGCCTTGTTGAGCATTACAGTGAGTTCAGAGATAGGTCCAACTCCTGGGCCTGAGGAAGGCCCCAGACCCTTTGGGAAGCTGCTCCAAGCCAATGACTGAACATAATTTTACTTTTACAGTTGATCAGAAAGAGTGAGCTACTATACCTTCTGTTAATAGAGATTTTTATTGTGAACAGAGATGCTTTTAGAACCAGAAGAGACCTCACAAAACAGATCTGGAGGGTGCCTGGGCAGCACAGTGGGTTATAGCTTAGGTCATGATCTCAGGGGCATGAGATCGAGCCCTGTATTGGGCTCCACACTCAGCATGGAGTCTTCTTGAGATCATCTCTCTCCCTCTCTCTTTCTCTCTTAAATAAATAAATCTTAAAAACAAGGCCTGAGTTGTTCTGGCCCCTGCCCCCGCTCTGAGTCACGTTGCGGAGACGCCCCCTGCTGGTCCAAGGAGGCTCTCTCTGCACCCTGGTGGGACCGGTGGCGGGACAGGACACCAGGGGAGAAGAGGCAACAGCCTGGGGCCTAGGGGCTTCTCGCCCAGTGCCCACCGGGACTGGCCTCCTGAAGGAGGTCTGGAGGACATGAAGGACACACAAAGGAGTATGAAGCAGAGCTGCCACTTACACCAAATCCATGTATCTCTAGAGGAGGGCAGTGAGGGGAGGACCTGTCTCTGGCTGGGACCCTGTGGCATCGAGCCCCTCACTTGCCACACCCAGTTCCCTGTGTCTGCCTGCCTGCCCTATGCCTCCCCCTGGAAATGACTGCCTGATGGGGGGAACTCAGGGTGCCAGTCCAGGGGGGCAGTGACCTTCAAGGTGGTCAGTAGTGGTTGTCCCCCATTAGGCTACCTTCTAGCAACACTCTCACCAGAGGGAGAGTCTTTTTTTTTTTTTTTTTAATAGATTTTATTTGAGAGACAGCACGAGGGAGGGAGGGAGGGGCAGAGGGAGAAACAGACTCCGGGTTGAGCTTGGAGCCCGGCACAGTGCTGAATCCCGGGACCCCAAGATCATGACCTGAGCTGAAGGCAGACGCTTAACCAACTGAGACACCCTAGTGCCCCTGGATGGAGAGTCTTGAGACACAGAGCAGACCCCAAACCATCTACTTCCTTCAGACCTTCCTTTGCTCCTCACAAATCCTTGAAGGCTGCCTAACATCCCCCTCCGGCTTCAGCTCTGGTCTAAGCTCAACCACTTAGAGCAGAAGCACACTCCTTTTTCATTTTATTTCCTATACAGCAAAACACACATTCAGAAAAATGAGCAAAGCACAAATGTGCAGCCTAAAAAGTTGCTATGACTTGAACATTTTTATGATCCTACCAAGGATCTCCAGCCCCCGTGTGCCCTACCCATCACAGCACTGCCCCTCCTGTGTCACCAGCAACCCCTGCTGGGGCTTTGGGGAGGTTCCTGTTCTTGTTTTGCTATAAAGCCTTCACCACTCAATTATACATCCATCACAGTGGTTTCCTGTTTTTGTATTTTATGTGAATGGAATCATAGATGAAAGCTTTGACACCTGGCTTCTTTTGCTCATCATGTCTTTGAGACCCATTCCTCCTTTCCCTTACCTTCTCCACTTTTGGATTGAGCAGCTTTTTTTTTTTTTTAATTTTAAAATCATTCTACTTTCCTCTTCTTTTTTTTAATTTTTGTTTATTTATTTATGATAGTCACAGAGAGAGAGAGAGAGAGAGAGAGAGAGAGGCAGAGACATAGGAGAGCAGGCTCCATGCACTGGGAGCCCGACGCGGGATTCGATCCTAGATCTCCAGGATCGTGCCCTGGGCCAAAGGCAGGCGCCAAACCGCTGCGCCACCCAGGGATCCCTACTTTCCTCTTCTAATTGGAAAGTTATACAATCTATTTCTGTTCTCACCTGAGTCTAGAGGAACAAATTTTTTACCCTCTTAGACAACATAAGGACTTTGGGTGACTTTGGCACCATTGATCTCCTTCAATACCTGATATCATTGTATGTATCTAATTCTGTATTGTTGTTATTTAACTCCCATCCAAAAGGAAAGAAGGAAGGAAGGAAGGAAGGAAGGAAGGAAGGAAGGAAGGAAGGAAGGAAGGAAGGAAGGAAGGAAGGAAGGGGAAAAGAAAGAAAAAGAAAGAAAGAAAGAGAAAGAAAGAAAGAAAGAAAGAAGAAAGAAAGAAAGAAAGAAAGAAAGAAACAACTCTCATCCAAGACAGTGTTTCTTAATTTTTTTTTTTTAATTCATGCACAACACAGAGAGAAACAGAGAGGCAGAGACACAGGCAGAGGGAGAAGCAGGCTCCATGCAGGGAGCCCGACGTGGGACTCGATCCCAGGTCTCCAGGATCATGCCCTGGGCTGCAGGCGGTGCCAAACCGCTGCACCACCGGGGCTGCCCTTTTTTTTTTTAAATTTTTTTTAAAATTTATATATATATTTTTATTTATCAAGACAGTGTTTCTTCCCCCACCCCTTGAAAATGGAAGGGGTATTTTAATAGTATTAAAACTTTTGCAGGACGCCTGAGTGGCTCAGTGGTTGAGCCTCTGCCTTCGGCTCAGGACCGGCTCAGGGCATGATCCCAGGATCCAGGATCGAGTCCAACATTGGGCTCCCTGCATGGAGCCTGCTTCTCCCTCTGCCTATGTCTGCACCTCTCTCTCTCTCTCTCATGAATAAATAAATCTTTAAAAAAAATAAAACTTTTTTATTGGGGCACCTGTGTGGCCCAGTCGGTTAAGCATCCAACTCTTGGTTTTGGCTCAGGTTGTGATCTCGAGGTTATGAGACTCATCATGCTCACTGGAGAGTCTGCTTGAGAGTCTCTCACTGCCCCTCCCCCACTGCAAAGAAATAAATCTTAAAACTCTTTTATTATGCTAAAATATATGTAATATAAACTTTACCATTTTAGGGGCACCTGAGGGACTCAGTTGGTTAAGCATCTGCCGTTGGCTCAGGTTATGATCCTGGCATCCTGGGATTGAGCCTCACATCAGACTCCCTGCTCCGCAGAGTCTGTTTCTCCGTCCTCTTGTTCTTGCACTCTCACTTTCTCTCCCCTCTCAAGTAAATTAATAAAATCTTAAAAAAATAATAAATGGCCTTTAAAAATTTACCATTTTAAATGTACGATTCTGTGGCATTCAGTATATTCTCATTACTGGGAATCATCACCACCATCTATCCTTTGAACTCTTGCTCCTGTAAAGCAGAAACTGTCCCCATTAAACAGCTCCCCATTCTCCCTACTCTAGGCCCTGGTGCCCACTATTCTATTTTGTCTCTGAATTTAATGATTCTGACACATAGTTGGTAAGTAAGCTCAGTTGGTTAGAGTGCGATGCTAATAACACCAGGGTCGAGGGTTCATTCCCTGTACAGGCCAGTACTTCATCTGTGCCCACTTGAGTAGCACATGTACTAAAATTGGAATGATACAGAGATTAGCACGGCCCCTGCACAAGGATGAATGTCACTACTCTGGGAACCTCATATAGGTGGCATTGTCTTGTCCTTTTCTGTCTGGCCTATCTCACTCAGCATAGTGTCTTTAAGATTCATCCACATTATAGTATGTGTCAGGAATTCCTTCCTTGTTTTAGAGAGAGAGAGAGAGAAAGCATGCGCACACATGTGGGGGCCAGGAGCGGCAGAGGTAGGGAGAGACAGAGAATCTTAAGTAGGCCCCATGCCTGGCACAGAGCCCCATGTGGGGCTCAAGCTTATGACCCTAAGATCATGACTCGAGCAGAAATCAAGAGTCAGATGCTTAACCGACTGAAGTAACCAGATGCCCTAGATTTCCTTCCTTTTAAAGGCTGAATAAGATTCCACTGTACGGATGGACCACATTGTTTATCCATTCATCTGACAGTGGACATTTGAGTTGCTTTCATCTTTTGGTTATTGTTAATAATGCTGCCATAGACATGGATGTATAAAATATCTGTTTGTTTTTATTGTTTGGAGTATATACCTCAAAGTGGAATTGCTGGGTCACATGGTAATTCTCCATTTACTTTTTTGAAGAACCAACATGTGTTTTCCACTGTGGCTGCACCATTTCACATTCTTACCATCAATGCACAAGGTTCTAATTTCTCCACATCCTGGTCAACTTATTCTTTTGTTTTATTGCAGCAGTCCTAATGGGTGTTAAGTGGTATCTCATGGTTTTGATTTTGATTTGCAGTTCCTCAAAGATCAGTGATATTAAGCATCTTTTTATGTGTTTATTGGCCATCTACATATCTTTTTTTTTTAAGATTTTATTTATTTATTCATGAGAGACACAGAAGGAGAGACAGGCAGAGACACAGGCAGAGGGAGAAGCAGGCTCCAAGCAGGGAGGCCGACATGGGACTCGATCCCAGGTCTCCAGGATCACACCCTAGGCTGAAGCCTGCGCTAAACCACTGAGCCACCAGGGCTCTCCACCATCTACGTATCTTTGAAAAAAGGTTCAAGTCCTTTGCCGATTTCTTAACTAGACTGCTTGCTTTCTTGGTGTTGAGTCATAGACAGTTTTATTTATTTATTTATTTATTTATTTATTTATTTATTTATTTATTTATTTATTTATTATTTAAAGATTTTATTTATTTATTCATAAGAGAGAGAGAGAAAGAGACAGGCAGAGGGAGAAGCAGGCTCCATGCAGGGAGCCCAATGTGGTATTCAATCCTGGGACTCCAGGATCACACCCTGAGCCAAAGGCAGACACTTAACCGCTGAGCCAGCCAGGCATCCCTAGACAGTATTTTTATTATTTTTATTTATTTATTTTTATTTTTATTTTTTAGACAGTATTTTTAATACGTAATTTTCTTAGATTGGATTCTTTAGGAGCAAAACCTGAAATGGGGATTTTGTGCAAATGATTTAGAGAGGGAATGTTCTCAGGATAAGCTGAATGGAGGAATCAGGATAGGTTGAAGTAAAAGGAAAAAATAAAGGATGGAAGTGGTCTTGGCTGGAGTCTAGCTTTAGCAGATCCCACAGGAAGCTCTGGAGTATGAATTGTCCCACAGTTGGTCCTGCCTTGAGGTCAAGCCACCAGCCTCATGGGCCCCAGGATCAGCCAGTATTTGGCGCTCCAAGTAGAGAGATGATCTCCTGGGCTAGGGCCATTAGCTGCTAACACTCACAGCACTCAGGCAGGGCCCACTCCCAGCTCCAAGCCAGAAAGAGCATCTGGGTAGGGCCCCACCAGCGACCACCAAGTCTATCCCGTGAACTGCTCACATCTACTTCTTCCTCACATTAAGTTCAGTCCATTCAGACACAAATTCTGCAGTATTTTAATGGGTCACAGTATCTGGGGGAACTTGTGAGAAATGGGTAGAGGATGAACTGCAGTTTACCTCCAGGCCACAAATCCTACTGAACATCTTCCTTTTCTACCTCCCATTCTGGATTTCTTCACAGCTCACACTTTGGCTTTCCTAGATTGTTCATGCCTGGGGGCTGAGCTCCTGGGAGGGCATGTTGCCATTCTTGCTTATTTATGGTTACTCGGTGTGGGAGCACCAAAACATTCCCATTCCCCTGAATGCCTGCTCTGATTGCCTGCGCACCATACACATTCCTGCCTGCCCCCATCATGTGGCAGGTAGCCCTACATACTCCCAATGATGAGGGTCAGTTATCCCTGGCAATACAGTTACTCCCTTCTCTGCCCACTGATCTACTAGCATGAGTTGTCCCACTTGATCAGGGGCAGTCATAGTTTCAACATGATTATGACCCCTGGTAGAAATGTCCTTCTAGGTGACTTCTAGGATCAAGGGGCTCACGGCACTTAATGTTGCAGAACAGGAAGCACAAATTCCTCAAGCAGGTCACTGGGTATTGTACATATTAGGGACACAGCATAAAGTGGTTATTGATACAGTGTATATACTGCTTCCTGGAGCCTAACATTCCACCTCCCAGGTGTCATCTCCAAGTTGTAGCCTCATCTGAATCTCCATGTGGCTAGCCCTTCATTCTACCAGCAACTTCTGAATGGTGCATATTTGGTCAGAATGGTGGGTTCCTGGTAATATGCCCATTGCCATACCTACTATACCATAAACAGGTCCTTTGGTCACTAGACAGTTATGTGGGATTCCACATCAGCCAATCAGACACTTCGTGAGCTCTTGATAGTAGCGCTGAAGTATTGCAGCAGAAAAGGCAAACGCACATCCAGATACATGGCAGTCTTGGTGAACATGAGTTATTGCTCTTTCTAGAATAGAAGGGATCCAGTGTAATCAACTTGCCAAAAGTAGCTAGTTGGCTCCTGCAGGGAGCTCAGTCTTGGTTTCTGATGGTGACAGGTTACATTTGTCAGTGGCAGTAGCTGGGTCATCCTTAGTTAGAAGCAGCCCATGCTTTTGGGCTCATGCATAGCTTCCACTCTGCTACCATGATTACTTCATTGGGGAGACTAATGTGCCAGCACTACGGGCACAAGAGGGCAGAACCTGGCTTATGCTCCTTAGTCAGTCCATTCTATCGGCTTGGTTGTATAGAGCCTCTGTGGTGGATGCACACTGGTGAACATTAACATACAATACAAAGATCTTCACTCTCTGTACCAATTCCCATAGGCCTGCCAACATGCCTTGTCCTCAGACCTTTTTATCTCTGAACTTTCAGATTGCTCCTTTCAGGGTTCCAACAGGCCAACTAAGCCATGTACCACTGTCTATGATTTCAGGCTACATTTCCTGCCACACAGTGAATGGCCAAGTTCACTGCCTGAAGCTTTGCCTATGGGGGTGACTGCCTCTCACCAGTCACTGTCTTTCAGGGAAGCTGCTGAATGGGGATACAGTGCAGCAGTAGGCCATTTTCAGCCCATACCAACATATTGATCCAACCTTCCTATGAACCAAGCACTTGCTTTTTGCTCCTCTGTCACCATGTCCAGAGAATCCCTGAGACAATTGGTGATAGATGTTGGTGCTATAGTGGTAGGTGACAAAGGATCTGGACCACCTACATCTGCATTTACACGAAGCCTTCTAATCCTGGATCTGCCCCTTAGATTATGATGTCTCTACCTGACTTTATGTTTTGGTAGCCTGATGGAAACAAGTGATGGGCAATTCTGGCCTCTGAGTCACTTCTGATGTCCCATGGAAACTTTCCATCTACCAGAGCTCAGTAGCAAGCCAGAAGTTACTTTTTGAGTTGCTTGGATCTGTGAGTTTGTAGTTTCCATCAAATTTGAAAAGACATATCAGCTATTATATTTTCAAATAGTATTTGTCTTCTTCCCAACCCCTGCATCCATTTCCAGGGATGGAAACATTACACATTAGGCCTCTTGAAGTTGTCCTACAGCTCACTGGTGTTCTGTTTGTTCTTTTTAGGCTCGTTTCTCTCTGTTTCATTTACTTTTTCTATGTCTTCCAGTTCACTTATTCCTTTGCTGTGTTTAATCTGCTGTTAATCCCATTCAGTATATTTTCCATTTCTGATATATTTTCTTTTAGAAGCTCGATCTGAGTCTTTTTTGTGTCTACTAAAAAAAAAAAAAGAGAGAGAGAGCTGTCAGTGTCCCTTCTTGAAAGACAGCTCTCTCTCTCTTTTTTTTTTTTAGATGGGGGTGGTGCGCAGAGGAAGGAGAGGGAGAGAAGCAGACTCCCAGATGAGCAAGCAGCCAGACCCAGGGCATGATCCTAAGCTCATGACCTGAGTTGAAATCAAGAGTCCCGTGCTCAACTGACTGAGCCACCCAGGCACCCACTTCACTGATAGCTCTTAAGTGCCAGGCCTTCTTCCTGGGTGCAAGGGAAACAGATGACTGATGTAGAATTGCAGAGTGTTGTCCAGAAGTGCTTGGAGATCAGAGGTCAGGGACTTATCCCTAGACAACATTCTTGACCTTTCTGTGGGCAAAGCCAAAGAGTTCCCTCCTGGAGAGGCCTGGGTTCCCTGCTGTTCTTCCCCCACCCAGCGCTGGGCCTCAGCTTCCTATGGTGTAAAGGGAACATGAAACCCTGCTTCTGTTTCCTGGGTCTCTTGGGGGCTCGGATGAAACAAGAGGGGGTAGAGGGTAGGGGCAGGTGCTGGTGTGGTCTCTAGGCTGGCCTCCAGGTCACTGGCAGGTGCCCTGATCTTGCCAATGCCCAGGCCTAGACTCTACTACTGTACTGGTTCTGCAGAGGTGACCGGTGCTCGTTCATCCAGCACCGGCAGGCCAGGCCCTGGGCCCCAAGCAGCCACCCTGTCTTTGCGAAGCCTTATCGCCATCCACAGATCCCACAGCCCTGACTCCACCCTGGCTGCCAGTCCCAAACTCTGCAGTGACCCCGCCCGGCGAGGAGAGGGCCGGGCACAGGGTCCAAGAGTCCGCGTGCTGGAGGAGTGCTCAAGGTGGGCAGGGGGCGGCCCGGGCTGGGACGGCCCCTCTGGGCTGGAACGGGCGGTTTAGGGCGCCCTGGAGCGTACCCCGGGCAGCGGGCCCGCAGAGGCCTCCGCTAGGGTCTGTCCAGCGACCACAAGCGAGTGCACGCGCGGTTCTGGAAGAGCGGGCGCCGCTGGCCCCGCCGCCCAGGGGTGGCGGACCTTCCGCAGCGGGCGGGGGGCGGGCGGCGGGCGGGCGGCGGGCGGCGGGCGGCGGGCGGCGGGCGGCGGGCGGCTGGCGGCGGGCCGGGCCACACCTAGAGGGAGCCCCGCGGCCCGCGGCAGCCGCACGCAGGGCCTCCGCTCCTGCCCTCCCCCGCGCCGCCCGGGCCCCGCCCCCTCCGCGCCCCACCGCCCGGGGTCAGCCAATCGCAGGGCGCGTTGCTCGGCGGCGCGGGGCGGGCTGGGCCTACAGGGTGGCGCGTTGTTGGGCTGCAGCGCCGCAGGCCGCACCCAGCTCGGGCGGCGGGGGCAGCGCTGGAGGCTGAGGGGGCGGAGAGGCCGGGCGGGCCGGGGCTGCGGGCTAGGGAGCGCCCGGCGGACAGGGGGCGGAGTCGGAGCCGGAGCTGGAGCCGACGCGCGGCAGCCGCCCTCGGACCTGGGAGCCTGTGCGCTGCCCGCGATTCGCCCCCTGAGGTGAGGCCCGCGCGCGGGGGTGGCGGCGGCGGGGCGCCGGGGGCCGCAGGCCGGTCCGTGGGGCCTGCAGCGGCGGCGCGGGAGGCCGGGCGGAGGCGGGCGGGGGCGGGGGCGCGGGGCCGCGCTGGGAGGGTGGTCGCCCTTCGGCCGGCGGCCGTGACCCGGCGCAGGCAGGACGGCTCCCCGCGGACCCTCGGCGGCGCGCGTTCCTCGGTGGGAGCGGCGGGGCGGCCGGCGGGGGGGGGGGGGAGGGGGCGGGGCGGGGTCGCGAGCGGACGCTGGGGCAGCAGGTGCTGGCGGCCGCCGGGGCCTCGGCCTGCGGCTCCGGGCTCCGTGCGGCCCCCGCAGCGTCCCTGCCCGTGGGCTCTGGGCGTTTGAGGGCGGCAGTGCTGCCCGCCAGACCTGCGTGAAGACGGCCGCGGTTGTCCTGGAGCTTCTCGGTCATCCTCTCGCTCTTCTTTCGCTAACGTTTTCTGGGGGAGGTGTCAGGGCTTCGTGCTTTCAACAGTCACTTTTGTTTGTACTCTTGTAATTCCCGGTTCAGGATGTGTTTGTAGGTGATTTGTGTTGGCTTCATGCACGCGTCCCTTCCGATAAATACGTTGGCTAACCTGAAAGTGCTGGCGGTGTGGTAGGTAATTTTATGCCTAAAGGACATAGAGCAACTGGTGTATCCCTAAGAAGCGAAACGCGTCTGAGAGCTGTATGCATTGTTGGTAAATGATTACGTTAAGATTGCTTGGGGTATATGTGGAAAATGGATTGAAATCTTAATGGGGAGGGGTGCCTGGGTGGCTTGGTGGGTTCTTCGGCTCAGGTGATCCTGACTCAGGTGGCTCAGGTGATCCTTCGGCTCAGGTCAGGATCCCGGGGTCCTGGGCTTGAGCTCCCCGCAAGCTGAGGGCTTCTCCCTCTGCCTCTCCCCTTGTTTGTGCTCCCCACCCGCTCCCAACAAATAAATGAAGTCTTAAAAAAAAAAAAAAAAAAGAAATCTTAATGGGGAGAAGAAATAGGCTTGCTGAAAGGTGCGCGCTGTTTCCTTTGCAAAACATCAGTCCTGCGGAGTGGGTGGGAGTGGATGAGTAAGAGTTCAGCAAGCGCCGGGAGGGGAGCGCGCATCTGACCTGGGGGGTGAGTGGTGTGAGGGTGCGATTGTAAAATTCAGTGTCCAGTTAATGGGCTGATGCTAGCAGTGTAGAAATTATTTTTTAAAATCCGAAGTCATAATATACCCCTCGATTTCTGACTCGGGGGGGGGGGAAACTAGAATAGTAAAGGTGTTTTTTAAGGAAGTGAATGGTTTTGGCAGTTACAACTGCTTTTCAGAGTTTTGATGTGGTTTACAGCAGGTCATCTGGTATGATTTGTTTTACTGCTTGTCGCTAGGTTTAGGTTTTAGTCACACAGGCTCACTGAATGCCATGAATCTAAATTCTACCCAGTCTCCAAAAGATGGATAGTTTTCTTTCTAAAATACAATTTATACAGCTGACCATTTTTCCTTTAAGTCTTTGACATTACTTGATTCTGATAAGATTTTGTTTGGTGTTCAGCTTTGCATGAACCGATTTTTACCACAAAAGTTGTTTCTTTAGATGATTATTAGTTTCCAGGTAGTTCTTTCAAATAGTCAAGTGTATTGTCTGAAAAGTAAATACTTGAAATGCTTTAAAACAGGTTGTTAAAAAAAAAATCACATATCCTATCAGTGTTAAAATTCACCTTGTCTCAATTTCTAACAGTTTGACAAAAAAAGGTATATTTATTATAGGAAACTTAAGAGTACAGATTGACTTACTTTACATGTTGTCATGTACATGTAGCGAGAAGGGTGCAATAAGTCCCTGTTTAATCTCATCCAGCTTCAGCTATTAACAGTTATTAACTCATAGCCAGTCTTTATCTGTATGCCCAAACCCAGATTTCATGTCATTTTAACTTAAATATTTCAGTGTGTATATCTACATACATTTAAAAAAAAGATAAGGGATCCCTGGGTGGCGCAGCGGTTTGGCGCCTGCCTTTGGCCCAGGGCGTGATCCTGGAGACCCCGGATCGAATCCCACGTTGGGCTCCCGGTGCATGGAGCCTGCTTCTCCCTCTGCCTGTGTCTCTGCCTCTCTCTCTCTGTGTGACTATCATAAATAAATAAACATTTTTAAAAAAATAAAAAAATAAAAAAAAGATAAACACAAATACGACTGTCACAAAAAATGAATAATTTCTCATTACCTTCAAATATCCCACCAATGTTAAATTTTTTTGATTGTGTAGTAGTTTTTTGTTTGTTTGTTTTTTTGTTTTTTGGTAACAGTTTGAATCAGGATCCAAATGCTATTTGTACATTGTAACTTGTTTTTTTTTTTTTTTAAGATTTTTTTTTTTTTATTCGTTTATTCATGAGACACAGAGAGAGACCGGAGAGAGAGTCAGAGACATATGCAGGGGGAGAAGCAGGCTCCATGCTGGGAGCCCGATGTGGGACCCCATCCCGGGTCTCCAGGATCACACCCTGGGCTGAAGGCAGCGCTAATCTGTTGAGCCACCCAGGCGTCCCTGTAACTTGTTTTAATCTTTTTTTTAATCATCTTTTGTCTTTCCTTGCAATTTATTTATTGATGAAACTCTGTGGTTTGTCCTGTGGAGTTACACACAGTCTGGATTTTATTCTGTATTGTAGTTTAACTACACAGAAATGAATGTGCACAGGTAGATAAATTTAAAGGTGTGATCAAATTGAGATTTGATTTATTTTTGGCAACAAAAACCTTAATAGGGTAGTAGGCAGGTAATGATTAGTAGTCTTTCTTCTTGTAAGCAGCCCTTGATGCTCAGTGCCTCCAATCATTATTTTATTTATTCATTTATTTAATTTAGATAGAGAACGCAAGCAGGGAGGGGCAGAGGGAGAAAGAGAGAGACTCTCAGGAAGACTCCATGCTCAGTGTGGAGTCCCTCATGGGGCTTGATCCCACAACTTGAGCCAAAATCAAGAGTTGATTACTTTTTATTTTTTTTATTTTTTTAATTTTTATTTTTTTTATTTACGATAGTCATATATATATAGAGAGAGGCAGAGACAGGCAGAGGGAGAAGCAGGCTCCATGCACCGGGAGCCCGTTGTGGGATTCGATCCCGGGTCTCCAGGATCGCGCCCTGGGCCAAAGGCAGGCGCCAAACCGCTGCGCCACCCAGGGATCCCAAGAGTTGATTACTTAACTGACTGAGCCATGCAGATGCCCCAGAGTCATTATTTTATTAGGCTGTGGGAAGTGATGATATTTTAATTCTATAACTTCATAATTTATTAGCTGGAATGCTTCTATAAAGAGAAATGTCCTGGGGTGTCCTGGGTGGTTGATTTCAGTTCAGGTCATGATCTTGGTTCTCTTGGGTTTTTGTTTTTTTTTTTAAATCAGACATTACTTTTATTTTATTTATTTTATTTTATTTTATTTTATTTTTTTTATTTTATTTTATTTTATTTTATTTTATTTTATTTATTTTATTTATTTTATTTTATTTTATTTTATTTTATTTTATTTTATTTTATTTTATTTTATTTTATTTTATTTTATTTTATTTTATTTTATTTTATTTTATTTTATTTTATTTTATTTTATTTTATAAAAAGATTTTATTTATTCATGAGAGACACACAGAGAGAGGCAGAGACATAGGCAGAGGGAGAGGCAGGCTTCCCGTGGGGAGCCGGATGCGGGACTCCATCCCAGGACCCCAGGATTATGCCCTGAGCCTAGGCCGACACTCGACCACTGAGCCATCCAGGCGTCCCTTGGTTCTTGGGATTGAGCCCCAGCATGGGGCTCTGTGCTCAGTGGGCAGTCTTTGGAGATTCTCTCCTAATCTCTCTGCCCCTCCCCCTGCTCTGTCATGCAGGTATGTTCTCTCTCAAATAAATAAATAAATCTTTACAAAAAAAAAAAAAAGAAAAGAAAATGCTCCCTCCACAATTTGGTTACCCTGATTTTAGCTCTTTTGGGCAAAGTAGGCTAAATGGTTAATTTGTCTGCAGTATTCACTAGTTCTCAAAATGAGTTGGGATACTCTGAAAGTGGCCAGTGAGTTATGTATGTGTTCGTGTCTTTGTGAACTGGTGGATTTAGACATATTTGATATGGTTCAGTCCACTGTAGGTATTATCCTTATTGATGCTGAGATTGTCCTGTCTTTCTTTGTCCAATAAGAATCCTTTGTTTGGTCCTAAATCCTTTGAACACAACTCTAAGTCTGATCTTTCTAGTGTGACAAACTGCACTAGGCTCCTCTTATACATTTTTTTCCCCGTTTTTAAAGATTTTATTTCTTCATGAGAGACACAGAGAGGCAGAGATATAGGCAGAGGGAAAGGCACGCTCTCCATGGGGAGCCTGATGTGGGACTCCATCCCAGGACCCCAGGATTGTGTCCTGAGCCAAAGGCAGACATTCAATCACTGAGCCAGGTGCCCCCTCTTGTACATTTTCTGTCCCAAGCCCTGGAATGATCTATTTCTCCAAGGGGCTTTGATTTTTTTTTAATGAAAAATGACATTTAGTAATGACAGTCTGTGCCCTGGGGTTGTTCAGTGTTTCTAGGTTGATCATTGTTTCTAGGTCTTCCCAGTGCACAGATCACAGGTCACAACACAGAGTTCTATCTAATCTTCTTCTTTTTTTTATTTTAAGATTTTTATTTATTCATGAGAGACACAGAGAGGCTGAGGCAGAGGGAGAAGCAGGCTCCTTGTGGGGAGCCTGATGCGGGACTTGATCCCATGACCCTGGGATCACGACCTGAGCTGAAGGCAAACGCTTGACCACTGAGCCACCAAGGTGCGCCTCTACTTAACCTTCTTGATCTTATGCCAGTATCTTCTTTTCTTCCAAGACAGACATCTTGATTCTAATTACTCATTTTTTAAGGCTTTATTTATTAGAGAGAGAGAAAGCGCGTGAGCGCACTGAGTTGGGGGGGGGGACAGAGGGAGAGGGAGAAGC